GACACACGAAAAGATGCTCCACATCACTAGTTACCAGAGAAATGCAAATTAAACCCACAGTGAGATATCACCTCACACCAGTCAGGAGGGCTACCACCCAAAAGACAAACAACAAATGTTGGCGAGGCTGTGGAGAAAGGGGAACCCTCCTACACTGCTGGTGGGAATGTAAATTAGTTCAACCATTGTGGAAAGCAGTATGGAGGTTCCTCAAAAAGCTCAAAATAGAAATACCATTTGACCCAGGAATTCCACTTCTAGTAATTTACCCTAAGAATGCAGCAGCCCAGTTTGAAAAAGACAGATGCACCCCTATGTTGATCGCTGCACTATTTACAATAGCCAAGAAATGGAAGCAACCTAAGTGTCCATCAGTAGATGAATGGATAAAGATGTGGTACATATACACAATGGAATATTATTCAGCCATAAGAAGGAAACAAATCCTACCATTTGCAACAACATGGATGGAGCTAGAGGGTATTATGCTCAGTGAAATAAGCCAAGCGGAGAAAGGCAAGTATCAAATGATGTCACTAACCTCTGGAGAGGGAGAACGAAGAGAAACTGAATGAGCAAAACAGCACCAGATTGACAGAACCCAAGAAGGGACTAACGGTTACCAAAGGGAAAGGGACTGGGTAGGAGGGGTGGGAAGGGAGGGATAAGGGCGGGAAGAAGAAAGGGGGCCTTACGATTAGCATGTACAATGTGGGGGTGGCATGGGGAGGGCTGTGCAACACAGAGAGGACAAGTAGTGAGTCTACAGCATCTTAGTGCGCTGATGGACAGTGACTGTAATGGGGTTTGTGGGGGGGACTTGATGAAGGGGGAACCCTGGTAAACATAATGCTCTTCATGTAATTGTAGATCAATAACAAAATTATTAAAAAAAAGGTGAATCATGCCCACTTTCCATCCCGCTAGGGAACCTGCGCTATCCCAGCTGACACTGCATTGTGGGACCCCCTCCACAGCCACCCTGAATGCCCGAGGAGTCTCTGTAAGGACGTCCCGTCATTCACTACAGCATCGTGCCTTTCAGAGGTACGTGGAGTGTTTATAGCTGTGCATGACCACCCAGGAAACCCTACACAAGGCCTCGTGTGCACCGCGTGGCTGTTTAAGAACCGGGGTCCTGCTTGTCCGTGTGTCTGGCTGCTGTCCCACATGGGCACTCCACCAGGCTGCACAAGTCACCTCCCCCAGCATGACGCAATAGCACCCTCTTCGTTTTTGTCAATCTTTTGAGGAAAGTTTATCTATTTTCTTTGAATTTTCAGTTCCTTTTATTTCCCGAAGTTGAGCACCTTTCTGTGTTTGCTGGTGTCTTCTCTTTACCCTCTGCCCCTTGTCTAGCGTACTGGCGTTCTTTTACCTTCAGCAGTGGAGATCATACACGTGTGTATATATTCCTAGTTTCACCCAGCCCCACCTGCTGGTATGTACCCTCTGTGCCACGGCTGGGCAGACGAAGATGGTGAAACTCTCCAATATGCTCTTCCAGTTCTATCATCCTTGTTTCATTGTATTTAAATATTTAATCCCCTAAAAATTATGTCTGTGTGTGGTATGAGGTTGGGTCAGAACCTGCCCATTTTCCAGTGACTTGAAATCCTGTACCGATCACTCAATTCCCACGTGGCTCCGGCACCATCCTCAGTTCTCTGTGCCGGGGTTTCCCGTGGCCCTGGGGCTTCCGGCTCCATAACCACAGCTTTGCGGAATGCTCTGATTTTGGCCACGGCAATCCTGCAGCCCTGTTCTTTCTCTCAAGCTTCTGGGTGCTTCTTGTGTTTACTCCTCTGGATGAGCTTCAGAATCCACCCATTAAGTTCCAGAAGACAACCAGTCTGTGGGCTGTTCTGCAGCCCTGATGAATTCATGTACAGCGGGCTGATCTGTGATGTCGCCTGACAGCTTTACAGAGCTCGGTCTTTAGATCCAGGAACGTGTAGTGTCTCTCTACTGACCTGAGGCCTCTTTCCTACTTTTCTACATTGGTCTGCGTGTCTCCCAAGGTCACTTCTCGACGTTTCCGGGTCTGGTTACCACGTGGGTGGGACCTGCTGCTCGCTGTAGTGGAGCAGAGCAGATGTAGTCAGATCAGCCTGAACAGAATTTTGGAGTCTAAGGGACGCAGGAAGCTGCTCGGCTTCTCGGAGCTTCAGAAGCCTCTGCATCTGGGGGATGGGACACCACCTGGGCGCCGCCTGGGTGTAAAGTTCCCTGGCAGAGCGCCCAGCACACACTACATGGTAAGTATGAACTCCCTCCTCCCAGTTCTGTCTAGTGTAAGGTGTACATCTTTCACGTCTTAACATTTCTGAGACTGTAAACGGGTCTTAAAATCAACGTCATATTATAGTTTAATTTGCAGTGATGTTTTTTCTTCCTTGAAGATTTCTAAAGTAATGATGTATCTCACAATTGGTGGTGTTATTGGCTTAATGAAACAGAATGCATGTCTATCCACAGCCCTTACCCTTCCGTCTTTGCAAAAGCCATTCACAGTCCCAGTGCTGAGATGCACGGAGCAGCTGATCCAGACATCTAGAGCTTTAGGGGTGTGTTACCAAGCATGCTGACTACCTTAAGAGGCACCTATCTTGTTGCTCAGATAGAGCCCCAATGTATTTCTGGTATTGCAGAATACAGAGGCACGGAGCCAGCAGCCCTGCTCTCCTCCCAGCTCAGAAGCTGATGGGGAATGCAGGGCCAGGTGTCGGTGTCACCCCCTCTGCGGATGTGGTGATGGGGACCAGGACTCCCGTCATCGATGCTCCAGCTGAGCCCAATTTGGGGACAGTCCCTTGAATGAGGAGACTAGAGCCCAGTTAATTCCTCCACCCTGACAAAGAGCAGACTCCTGGGCCTCAGTGCCCCATGGGCAGGTCACCACAGTGCTAGGCCCCTCCTGAACTCACAGCTGCCTGACTGTCACATGCCTCTTGCCCTTAAGGTTCTAGAAAGGCACCAACAAGCTCATCCCTCCCCAAAGTGGGGCTCGCTCCACCCAGAACTGTGCAGTGCCCAGAGGTCATCAATCCTATCAAGTGTGGCAGCGCCATGCTGAGTGCCCAGCACCCATGCTCAGTCACCACATGGGAAAAGGGTTCTGACTGCAAGCTCCACAAGACCAAGACCCACCTGGCTAGGCCTTCTCGTGAAGACCACGTCAGGCACCCCGTCTTGTGAACTGACCTCAAGAGATTTATCGGGCATTGTTTCCCTCCCTAGGGCCCCACAACATCTGAGCAAGCAAGCCCACCTTTAATTGCACACTGACCCAGCCAACGTGGCGTCCAGGGAAAACTCACAATGTTTGGCTCCCACCTCCCCACTTTTTCCTTCCATCATTGTTTATGGAGATTGCATGAAAGTGACAGCTGGAGTGATGAACTGGGGGTCAGCTGAGTGCTGGAGTGTCTGACAGCCAGGAGGGCTCTGGCAGGGGAAGGAGGGGACAGTCACCGGGGGAGAGCAGGCCACCATCAGGGCTCTCCCAGCCTGGGGCCGCCAGGGGGGCAGGAGGTGGAGACCAGTGGGGCGGACTGAGGGCAGGCCACCCCCACAGAGGGCAGTGAGGGCCGGTCAGCTCTGGGGACGCTGCAGAACAGCACGAGGGCCCACGAGCATAGCGGGCACATGAGCAAAGCAGCCCAGAGTGGAAACGGCCCGGACACGTCTGTGTGGGTGGAGGGGCACCCACTGTGGTCTGGCTGCGCCGCAGCACGTTATCTGGCCACGGAAAGGGATGAAATTCTGACACCTTCCACAGCGTGGGGGGACCCTGGAGGCACCTTGCTAAATGAAAGGCAGCAGGGAGGGCCCACTGAGGGGGAACCTGCGTGCCAGGCAGAGCCCCAGACAGGAAGCAGGCTGGGGGCGGGCGGGGGTGACCGCCAGCAGGGACAGGCTCCCTCTGGGGGTCAGATGCCTCAAGGTTACGCAGCCATGGCTGCTCAGCTCCCAGTATGCTCCAAGCCACTGAACGGTACCCCTCCTCCCACTGGGTGAATGTGGGCTGTGAAAGTCTGTGTCAGCACAGCCTCCTCTGTGGACAGAGCTCGAGTACGAGTATGGCCAGAGCCAGGGGGCCGCCGGGTGGGACCTGGGCTGCGTCCTGGCTCTGCACTTCCCCGCGGCCCCGAGACCGGTTTCTTCTTCTAGGGGGCAGGACACAGCCATACCACAGATGGACAGTGGCCTACGTGCTACTCTTCTTGTGATGAGTACGCTGAGCATTAGACAGAAGGAAGGTCAAGGGGCAGTGGGCTTCTGCTGGCCCCTCCTCTATGTCCCATCTCCCAGGCCGGCTGGGGGCGACCCCTGAAGGTACCTTGGTCCCTCCACAAGCACTCAGACCCCAACAGAGATGCAAAATGCCGCATGTCTGTGTGATTTCCTAGGGGTGAGGCCTTTATCTTTTTATCAAGTTCCCACGAACTCAGGTGCCATCGTGACCTGTCTTAGGTTCCTGGAGCCCTCCCTCCAGGGGTGGCCGGTGAAGGGCACACTCCCACCCACACACTTGCCACCAGCTCCCGACAGCACCCTTCCCAGCAGGCCCCGGGGCCTGACCCGGCTGCCAGGTAGCCCCTGCTGGGGGGCGCTCTGCCCGGGTAGCAGCCTGCCGCCAGTTCTCCAGAGCCCAGACTGTCACCCGGGGCTCCCGCATCCGGAATCTGCCCTTGAGAACCATCAGTGTCGCGGGCAAGGATCCACACCCACAGGCACAACGGCAGCAGTGTTCACACGGCAAAAATGAGCAGCAGGAGCGCAGACCAAGGGGCTCACAGTCACACGAAGGGCATCAGATGCTCAAGGAGCGTCACTGGTCGGGCAAGTGTTTGGGGGACAAGGCCACTTTTTAAAAATCTTTTTTAATTGAAGACTAGCTAATAGAGAATATAGCCAATAATTCTCCCAGTCTGCCGCACCCGAGGGCCACGGCCCTGCCTCAGAGTCACGTGGCAGCCCCTAGCCAGTGGCCCCAGTCCAGCAGACAGGGCGCACTACCTGCCTGAGGCCTGTCCCCCAGGATGGGAGGGCAGGAGCCGGTCTGCACTGCCCGGGGAGCGGGGGCTCTGCTGGGACCTGTGGTGTGCAGGGTCACACGGGGCACGGACCCTGCCTGGGCATTCTCCTCAGGGGTGCAGGGCTGCCCCATGTGTCTCTGCACCGGGGGGCGTCTGGGGCTGAGCCGGCTGAGTGCTCACAGCGGGGCTTCTTTGGGGTGATGCAAGTTGCCCAAGTCAGAGAACTGCACAGCTTCATGAGGGGCCCAGACCCCAACTTGTATGCCTTATGTGGCTGATTATTACGGGCCTATGAAATATACTCAATAAATCCGTGAAAAGGTCTGAGCCCATGGCTGACAGAGACTCTACTTTCATTCCGAACCACACCAACAAAAGCAAGTGGTGGCATGTGTTTACCTAGCAGGTCGGCCCCTTCATCCACATCCCCGATGACCTCGGACCCTGCGGTTGACAGTTCGTGGTACAGGGAGTCGGTGTTGATGCCAAACGCCTTGTTCACGATCCCCTGGGTCGGGCTGTGAGGACACGCGGCCGGGGCAGGGCAGAGTGAGTGGACTACATATAGGGCTCCCCAGTACCCTGTGGGGCCACTCAGAGTCAGAGAGAGACCCCAGCCCTCCGGCCAGCGCAGGGCCCCTGGAGCTGGGCCGTGGGCCCGAGGAGCACCTGCTGCCTGTGCGGTCCAGACGGGGCTCCCGACTCGTGTCCAGCTCTGGGGTGGAGTCGATGATGTCCTGAACATCAGACCACTCATCACTGCTGCCCATGCCTGGGGGACATGCAGACTGGTGTCAGGAGGGCTCCACTGGCCCCATCTGGAGGCCCCTTGCTATGGTGGCACCATGGGGCCCATCAGAAGAGGGCTCTTCCCACAATGCAGGCTGGATGGGGCCCACCCCTCAGGCCCTTGTTTGTCGCCTTTCAGGATCCCATCTGAACAGCCAGATGGCCTGCCTTCCCTACACCCCCATCTCTCAGACTGTCTGGGGGATGACAAGGCTGAGTGGGACCCTGAATTCGAGTCCTGGCTGCCAGCATCAGAATGTGTTTGGAGATGGGGCCCTTAAAGAGGCAATGCAGGAACTGTGGGGCCATATGGGGGCCTGGATCCCACAGGACTGTCCCCGCAAAAGTGGGAGCCAGGCCCCAGACATGGCTGCCCCTGCAGTACCTATGCTGACATTCCGCATCTCCTGTGTGACCTGGACCTCCATGTTGCGGCTGCTGCGTTTCTCCCGGGCACGTTTGCTGTTCTGGGTGCCGGAGCCGTAGTCCCCCAGGGGCTGCAGGCTCTCATTGAGCGGTGTGGCCGTGGCAGAGGGCACAGATGATGTGGGCGTGTTGGACTTGGTGCCTGTGGTACTGGGTGTGGCGGCTGCCGAGGACTGGCCCGACTCAGACATCTCGTCGTGTGGACACTAGGGCCAAAGGCAGGAACAGGATGTTACGGTGTGGGTCACCACCCTCGCGGCTCCAGGGAGGTGGCGTGGACCATGCAGGGCCACCTCCACAAGGCCCCCTGGTTCAGCTCCTTTGGCCATAATCAAGCTGCGCTCTGAGCCTGGGCCAGAAGGATGGCAGGACCGCAATCTCCTGCCGAGCTGACCCTGACCCTCATGGCCTAGTCACTGGGCTCGCCCAGCTACCCCCCGGCTTTCCAGAGGTGGCTGCGCCTTATTTAGGTGGTCTGCATGGGCTCTGGCGGGCCAAGGGTGCTGCAAAGAAGGATGGACGTGAAGCGGCATGGATATGGCAGGCCACCCTATGTAGGAGGCAGGTGGTCAGAAACAAGCTGCAGCCCAGGACAGGGCAGAGGGCTCTTCATGACCGGGGAGGAGGCCACCCAGGCAGCACACACCTCCTCAAGTTGTCACCCTGCTGCAAGGCACTCAGGGGCTGGTCCCACCTGCTCCTGGCCACAGTCGGGGCTATGAAGGGGCACATGCCTCCCAGTTCCCCCCATTGTGGCCTCTCAGAAACACCAGGGGACGCCAATGCTCAACCCCATGGTTCCACAGGACCACAGTCTGACTTAAGCATCTGTGCAAATGTGAACACGAAACTCCCACCCACGCCCCTCCAGCAGAGCATCCCCGGGGCACTCTGGGAGGGAGAAGACGGGCATGACAGGCCATGACCCCCGGAAGGCCTCGGGGGCTCCACGAGGGGAGTGGAGCTTGACTCTGAGAGGGCCTGAGCCGCAGCTCCTCTACGGTCCTTCCCGACAGGCCGACTGCGGGACGAGCTCCATGAAAATCGCCCCCGCTCTTCTGATACTGGCGACCCTGACTCATCCCCACGCAGGGGTCCCGGCGCCTCCGGCAGCCTTGGGGCGGCAGCTCCCCACTGCCCCCCTGCTCTCTTTCATGAGGACAAGGAGGGGTGCGGCTGAGAGGAGCCCCTGGCACACGCCCCAGGAGGACGGTGGCACCGGTCACATGTCCCACCCCACCCCCAGGGCTCAGGGTGCCACACGGCCACGAATGCTCAGCCCGGCCCGGCGGGGGGACAAGGGGAAGTGCCCTGCCTAGGGGGACCCTGCACAAACACCTCCTGCGGCGGAGGGCTGGCTGGAGGGAAAGTCCTCTCCTCTTTCCACCAGCACGTCAGAGGCCCTAGGCGTCCCGGGCAGCACGGGAGCAGAGGCAGGGAGACGAGAGGCAGGGGCATTCTCGGAGGTGGGGCAAGGCCAGGGGTGAAGGGCCAGGACTCCCAGGGCCACACTTTCTGGGCCACCGACTCCCTCAAGGGCCACGCTGCCCAGCCCGCCAGTGACTCACAAACTTGTGTCTGTGGACTTTCGGTGGCCTCCTCGACCCCAGTGCCCACTGCAAGGAGTTCTGTGGCATGACCAGGCCTCCCCCAGGCTGCCTGAGCTCTGAGACCCTACAGGCCACCACTTACCCACAGGGCACTCCCCCTGGCCACCACTTACCTAAAGGCAAACCTCTCAACCTCCTAACATCAACGTGGGGCAGTGGCCTCCACACGCAAAGACTCTTAGCAGCCACTCCTCACCATGAGGAGCCACAACTGCTCCGTTAAAACACTGAAAATACAGTACATACAAACAAAACAAAAAAACAACAACAAAAATTAAGAAATTAGAGAAATCTTAAAACCTAGAGCATGAAATAAAAAGAACTTAAAAGAAATTGTTTAAAAAAATGAAATAAAATACACTTATGAACTGAAACATAAAACACTATGATTTATTAACAGAAACTATTTCAGACACACAGCAGGAAAAGAAGAGACATCACAGACGAGCTGCTCAGACACAGGCACATGGAGGGCAATGGCCACAGCCCTCGGCGGCTTGTGTGCCCAAGCCAGGCCCCTGCAGCCGGGACAGCCGGACCCCGCAGGCCTCGGCCCTTCTGCCCAGCCCCACACGGCAGCAGGGAGCACCCCACTTAGGTGCGGCAGAGACATGCTCACTGCCCAGGACAGAAGCAGAAGGGAGCAGCCCCTCTGTGGCACAGCCGGCAGCTGGCAGCCACTCCTGCAGGCCAGCCAGACGCTGAGGCAGGAGGGCAGTTGGGAGGGAGCTCCTGGGGAAGACACGCCCCCCGTCTGCCAGCCCAATCAGCCCAGAGGCAAGGCACTGCCTCCCAGGTGACCTCCAATGGCCTCTGCGGGACCCCCCCAGACCTGGGCTTGTTCCTCTGCCCGGAGGGTGATGACCTTACCTAGCTGTGGGGCTAGTGTCCCAGACTGGTCTGCCCACCTCTGCCCCACACGCTGAGCTAACACCATTACTGGCACAAGTGGTCAGGTGCCCTGAACCTGTTCTAGGCCATTGGCTTTCTCGGGGCCCCCATTGCGGGGTACACTCTCCGGTTAGTGACAGACACCCAGGATGTCAAACTCAGAGACCCAGCAGCCGCTAGTATGGGCCTGCAGGTGAGGACAGCCTGAACTGTAGCCCATGTTTTCTCCACTGCTGTCACACTTCGGGGAGGTCCGCTGCCCCGGGGCAGCTGTGAAGGGCTGTACGCACAGCGGGCTTCCTGAGTGAACATGGACACTGGGGAGGAGACCCTTGCTCCACAGCACGGCTACAAAACCTGGTAGCTGGAGCTGAACTGCAGCTGGCCGAGGTCACTCAGGTGCCAGTGGTCCCCCGCAGGCACGAGCTTGCCCCCCGTCTGCACACGTACCATGCTGTCGGCCAGGGGGAAGACGTTCAGAGAGGCAGGACGCTCCTTCCTGCTGGAATGTGAGGGAGAGAAGGAGAGCAGTGGTCAGCCAGGGGACCGGGACAAGGACTGAGCTGTCTGGATGTGAGTGCCCACGTGCAGATACAGTTGTCCTTGATGGCGCCCGACCTGGGAGGGCGTGGCCCGTGGATGGCCGACCTGCCCTGGCCACTCCGATCAACGTGACCACGGTCAGGGATCCTGGCCTCCAAGACCCCGACACCGTCCCTCCCGGGGGTCTCTGACTTTCAGCCACCTCGGTTTTAAGCGGCACCTGCTGTGTAGGCTAAGACTCCACAGCAGTTCTGTGGCCCTGTGGCATCGTGGCCAGCACTGACCCATCCCCTGGTGACTTGATGAAGATGGTTTATCCCGGTGGGCCCAGCCCTGCCTCCTCACAGCTGCCAGCCCTGGCCCTGCCTCCTGGCACCGGGCAGGCCCCCTTTGTGCCTCGTCCTTTGTCCCCCATCACCCACCCACTCCTCTACTGTTTCCATAGGACACTTCCTCGTTGCAGGACCTTTGCACAGATATGCACGCAGTAAAGAGTGGCTGCCCTTCTTCTGGGCCCCCGCCCTCCGCAGCCTTTGGCCCCTTTCTGACACTGGGGGGGATGGGGTGGACTTCGCCAAAGCTGGGCTAGGACACTGGAGTGTCTGGTGGCTTGGAGTCATGAGAGTGAAGCACAAAGCCGCCTGCCAGAGGCTCAGGCCCCGAGAGATGCTCCAAGGGCTGCTGGAGGCTTCGGCCTCACCATCTCCTGCCTCACCCTGGGGCAGACACATGGCCTCTCAGGGACTGTCGTCCATCAGAGCCCCTGCTGCTTGGAGCTGCAGACCTCAGGAAATAGAGTCCCTGCACCACAGCATCTCCTGCTCAGAGATCGACCCCCAAGACTGCAGCGGTGGGGGGCTTCCTTGGGGTCCCAAGGAGCAGGGTCCAGAGGCTGTACTCTTCTGGAGAGAGAAGGCGGTAGGCCTGCTCATGGTGCTTGGAGGCTGCAGGGGAGGGCGGCAGGGGGCCGAGTGGCCACTGGGACTGGGGCTTCTATATCCAGCTAGGCGGCTCCAGGAAGCACAGTTCTGGGAAGGTGGTCTCTTTGATGGGGCCCCACATAGTTCTGGGGGCAGGCTGGGCTGGGATGAAGCACCTGCTCTGTACCCACCATGGACAGTCCGTCTGTCCAGCTCAATAAAGATACCGCCATCCACAAACCAGGGTTCCCTGGACCTGCTGGGACCTGGCTGTGCCATCTGGTAGCTAATCCGTGGCAGGGTCAGAGCCAAAGAGCAGAGTGCTCCCAAGGATCTGGTTGGGGCACAGACGACTGTGCCCACCTAGGCCACTCAGGAAAGCGGTTTCCTGCAGACAATCTCAGGTACCTCATGTGGCCCTTGCCTCTGACAAGGGATACCTTCTTGGACATGTCTTAGCCTGTCACTTAAAATAAGAAACTCAGCCCCTAAGACGTCAAGGTGGGAAGGAAATTGTCCAGAAACTGGGTGGGCCACGACCCAACCCTCCCTCAGCTCTTCTGACAACAGCCCACAAGGCCCCTTGGTGCCTGGGAAGGCGGGCGGCTGCTGTGTGGTCTGCACATCCCCGGAGGACGGGCAGGCCTCCAGCACCACAGTGGCCAGGCCACCACTCCTGTCTGCTCCCTCGGGGGTGCTGGCACTTTTTCCGTGGGCTCCCAGTGTGGTCGGGAGCCCTCTCCTGGGCGTGGCTCCGGGGGCCACATATATGGGTCCTCAGCCCCAGGCGCCATGGCCAGCCTGCGGGTACAGAGTGCAGGCATCCTGCCTCAGAGGACAAGGGGCCACTTGCCTGTCTCCCACTCCCACAGCGTGCCCGCACACGCGGCACCTAGCCAGCCCAGCCACTCTCTGCTGGGAATGTCACAGGGACCGAGCATGCAGCACCGGCACCACTTGCTTCCCAAGCCTCACAAGCACTAGCCAGGCACTGCTGCCTACCAGCCCTCAGCCCCGCCAAAGCCTGGCCGCCATGTCCTTGGGCTGCTCTCTGTGGCTCCCACGGGACATGCCCGTGGGCATCATGGCTGCACTGCTGGCTCTGGGCCCAGGGCTCTAAGTGACAGCGCTGGGCTGTGAGGCAGGTCCATCTGCCACCATAGCTCAGGGTCTCTGGCCCCCACGCCTCTATGGCAGCACCAGCCTGAGGCTACAGACGGCGATCCAGTCTGCGGACAAGGCATGGTTTGCTGAGTGGGGGCCCTGCTCCGCCACCTACTATGGGGTTGTCTCAGGGACCTCGGGCCAGCCCGCTGCCTCCTCAATGTCGTGGCCCTCAAAGTGCCACACCAAGAGTCTGTGATGGTAAATGGTGAGTAAGACCTGCCAGCCAGGGACCCCGGGGTGCTCAGCACAACAGTGTCAACACTGCCACAGGCTTTACCTTTTCCTCCACGACTGGCGCGGACTGCAGGGCAGCGACAGACACAAGGCCCAGCATGCGGGGCGACAGCACAGAGGACAAGACAAGAAGACAGCATTAGAGGGTGAAGGCCAGGCAGCTCGGGTCACATGTGCTCACACAGGGACTGGTGCACCGTGATGACGAGCAGGCGCACCCTCTGCTCCCCTCCACAGACAGTTGTCAAAACATGCAGACTACATGCAACGGACAGGTGACACACAGACATGCAGCCCTCTCAACTTTGAGGGTCACCCAGATGGCCAGCACAGGGTGGACGGTGAGTCCTCTCAGGCAGCCCTGTATGTGTGCACTCGGGCACACAGTGGCAGGGCACTCAGTGGCAGAGCACACAGTACACATATGCGCCCATTCGTGGGCCCAAGCACCCGACCAGGTAGGTGTTTTGGGCTCACACTGAGTTTTACTCTGAAGACACACAGATTCAGAAAACCAAGCCAGGAATGAAGAGAAACAGCATCTAGGTTCTGCATCTAGGGGCAACCCAGCACTGAGAGGGGGCCCTTGTGGGGGAGCCAGGGGGTGAACAAGAGGCTGGTAGACACACGTGTGTCCCCAAAGGGTCCAGAGTTTGGCAGGAGAGGGTGCACCACAGAGCAGGGAGGGCTGAGTAGCCGGGGACGCACGCTGCTCCAGCCCCCCCAACGGGGGCTCACGCCTTCATGGCTGAGGGACCCCAGGGCCTTCCTCCTGTGGGCAGGAACAGGAGGGGCTGCAGACCCAGGGGCAGTCACGGACACCTCGCCTCAGGGATTCCCTCCTGGCAGGGCCAGATCCAGGGGACAGGAGTGCTGGGAATCTGGGCCAGAGCCCTCCTGGTCCTGGGCAGCCAGTGGGTGCATTTTATAGACAAAGTGACTCCCCTTGGAACTGGCTTGGTAGGGAGAAAGCCCCTACCAGGGCAGCCACACCCCGAGGGCTCACCTTCTGCACCAGGCCCCGAAGGCCTTGGCCTACCGCCCACCAGCGATCTACACCTGCTGGCGCAGACAGAGACGCCAGAGGCCTGGCTGCCACAGAGTGCGTCATGGGGCTTTTCAGGACCAGCCTGTCGTGTTTCTCTGGGAGTGGAGAAAGCACACCTGAACTGCTGTGGACCCTGGGGGGGTTGTGTACTGGCCCCGTGCCCAGCAGTCTTGGCAGGAGAAGGGTCTGGAGCCCAACCCCAAGCACCGGGGAGAGCCGTGTGGGCTGGGGCTGTGCTCGGCCTAGCCTCCACTCAGGGCCTAAGGGGCCCAAGACACACCCTGAGAGCAGGTTCCAGGACCAGGCCCCGCTCCCCCACCCACGGAGGTACCACAGAAAGCACCCCATCCTGAACCACGGCACCTGTTCCATGTGAGCAGGAACCTGAGGCCGAGCATGGCCACGTGGTGGCCCACGGTGATAGCGGGACCCTCGGGCACCAGCTCCAGAGCCTGGGCAGCTGCTGCTCTGGGCTGGGCCCACATGGCCCTGACTTCCTAAGGACACCTACTTCCCTAGAGCCCCGAGGCCCAGGTGCTGTCCGGTGACTCAGGATGCTGGACAAGCGTGGTGCCGAGTCCTGAGAGCAGAGGTCATGCCTCCTTGGCTCTCGACACCAGGCCCTCTTGCTGAGCTCAGCCCTGCATGACCTTTGAGGTGCTCCTGCCTTGAAGGGAGCTGGCTGGAAGCAGCTGGAAGGCTCCAGAACACTGCAGCTGTCAGGCAATGGCCAAGAGCCCGGCACTCCTTGGGGAAACCCTAACACCAGCTTCTGCAGCCCCAGCTCAGGCTGCCCTGCCAAGTGCCGCGGACACCACGAAGACCCCACCCAGGTCAGCACTCGAGTGCAGTGACTCGGACGCTCTCCTGAGGCTCTGTGCCAGGCGCGAGGACTTCACAGTGTGCTCAGGAGGGAGCCTCCTGAGCCTGAGCTGGCAGGTGGGCCTGGATTCCCCACATTCGGACTGTTTCTGACCCGGACGCACTACCCACAGGGCCTGTGGTTCAGCCACCTCTGATACACACTCCCTTGCTGGATTCTCAGAGTCTCGGGCCGGCTGACGACTGGCTGTGAGACCTTGTTTAGGGCGTGAGCACTGATCGTGACAAAACCCCCACAGGGCTCACAGACTGACCGCCTCACAGCAGCCAGACTGTCCAGGAACGTGACTCAGCCCTGGCCGCCCTTCCTAGGTCCTGCCAGGCCTCCCCACATACACCGAGCACTTGCTTTCAGATCAGAACACTCAGGGACAGGAAAGCACCCCTGCCCACCGGGACCCAGAGAGTAATTGTGGACCCCCCCCGGGGGGAGGGCCCAAGTCTTCCTGCACACATGACTCACTGCAGAGGCGGGCAGAAAAGCTGTAGCCAACAGGCCTTTACATGACACGGCCAGGGCTCTAGGGGTTTGTCTGCGGGAACAAGGGGCCTGCCTGGAAACAGGCCGACTCTGAGCTGCACCCATGGGACCTGGAATTCCGACCCCAGGCCCCTCCCCCAACTGGTGGAGACTCAGAGCCTTGGACCAACCTGCCCCAGCCCGGGTCCACGGCTCTGCTCCACTACAGGCCACTCCCTTAGCTGGCCAACAGCCTGGAGATCCCTGACCATCTGCTCCTGTGGGGACTGGTCAGTCTCAGGCTGGCAGGACAGAGAAGGTGGGGAAGGAAGCAGCCTCTGCAGACTTCTCCCCAGTCCCTGATAAAACCAGCAGAGCTCTCAACTCAGACAGGTAAGGGCCTCTGGGTCTGCTGCCTCGCCCTGCCCTGAGGTGGGAAGGTGGCTCTGCCCAGCACTTGCCAGGCTAGCCCGGGCCTCTTCCCCAGCCACGTACAGTCAACTCTCGAGATTCGAGGTAGTTCTATTCTGGCACGCACACACAATGCGTATCTCATACAGACGGCGATCTTCATTCCTAACCCATCCTGGTAGATTCTATTTGCTTTACTTTATAAAAGAGAAGATGAGGTACAGGAGTATTTGGGGACCCGGCTGCCCCACCAACAGGGGCCACAGCTGGGCTTCGGATCCCCCCGGATGGTGCCCCGCCCTCTGGGAATTGGCATGAGGCTGAGGCAAGCGGCCAAGTGTTGCCTGTTCAACCTCAACTGGCATCATGTGTTGGCGAGGCAGTTTTCCCCGCTCTGCGCATGTCCAAAATGACTGCGAAGGTTCCATGCGCGCGGATTTCGAGGCCACACGTGTGCCAGCGAGCAGGCAGATCATATACCAGAATCTGAAGGTATCAGGGTGGCCTGCGCACGATCCACCCTGGGCCGTCGTGGCGACAGGGCAGCAGTGGAAGGCCCACCCAAGACCCTCAACCCCATTCTAGCACGCGGGGCAATTCCGGCACACATTCCTGTTCAGGCCACACACTCTGGCCAGACACCACTCTCCTAGGCGGCCCCTGCTCCCTGCCCCAGAGTGACCTAGGGTGGGGCCCGCTGGGCCGCAGGCCCCGCTGCCAGCCTACCTCCTCCCCGGCAGGCTGCTCTCGGTCTGGCTGCTGCCTCCCGCTTGCTGCATCTTGGACCTCTCGATGTGCTCCACGTACGTCTGTATCATCTGCGGAGAAGGAAGGCCCCGGGGAGTGACTCCTGCCGCCAGCTCTGCGCCCCCCCCACCCCCGGCCCCGGGGCGCGGCGGCGTCCAGGCGGGCCGGAGACGAGGCCCGCGCGGGGCGCCCACCTCTGTGTGCCGCTGGTGCAGAGCGTTGTACTCCTTCTTCATCTCCGACTCCCGCTCCTCCAACCGGGAAACTGGAAAACACAACTGCTGTTCGTCATGGAACCACCCGCTCCTCCACAGCTCCTCACTTGTTGGGGCTTAATCGCCAGCGGCAGCGGGCTCCGGGGCAAACTGATGCCCGGTGCAGACTGGCAGCAGCAGGCGCGCCCAGACAAGGGCATCATGAGGAAGCGTCCCCGGGGCCGCCGGGATGCAGGTCCCCCCTCGGTGCGGGGGTGCGCTGTGCACGCTGTGCTACGGGAGGACCCGCGATTCCGCTAAATGAGACAGAATGGGTGCCCACAAGGGGGCCACAGACACCTTCCTTTGTAGCCTCTGCTCGAACTGCGACTGTCCTTACAGCCCCAGAAGTGGAAAGGCTGATGTGCGGAGCGAGGGACAGGCCATGTGACAGGCACGGGACGGGGGACTCCCGCAGCTCTGCCCTTCCAACCCTGTCTCCCTGTTACCTGCTTTAGACTGGTTTAGTTTGAACCTCCTTTTGGTCCATATGCTCTCCTGTTCCTCCATCCCGGTTAACTTGCCCAGCACTGTCCTTGGAGGCCACATGATGTCAAGGTCATTCCCTGCCTGACAGGCGGTGCCTCAGAGCCTGCATTTCTAACGAGTTCCCTGGGGACCACACTGCGTGGAGCAGCAAGTGTGCCTGCACAACCCAGAGTTTATAGCTCCTCCTTTGACAAGGGCGAGGTGCTTACGGACACCAGCACATGGCATACACAGAACTGGCTGCCGAGGAAGGCGCTCTATCCAGGGACGTCTGACCTCTGCTCTGGCCTTGAGAGGGGTTGCCTGGCTGTCCGTCAGTTCCTGGCGAGGACTGTGGGGTGGGAGCTTCGGCCTCTTCTGACCTGCAGGGGCAGGCGTGCAGGCCCCTGTCTGGTCGAAGGAACCAGCCTGCCCCTCTCCCCTCTGGCCCTCACTCCTGGAGCAAACACCTTTAGCCTGTTTTTTTCCTTCTGGGAAGACCTGAAAAGGCTTCACATATGAGAAGTTTCCAAGCAAAGGGAGTATTAAGGAGTCTGTGTAATTACAGAAAGGGGTTTGTGTATGCCTAGATAGGCCCTTTAGTTTGTGGCCACTCCACGTATCCGAGCATGTCTGCATGTACACATTAAGCCACCGGCCGTCACCTGCCTGTGACGGACTCACCACGGGGTACTGGCCTCAGCAAAGTGCCCTTAAGTCTCGGTTTGGGATAGATATAGACCCAGAACATCAATCCATTATTTCCCGCAATCTGATCTCAACTTTTCAGTGAAATGAAGGCACCTGCACACCCAGGGAACTGGGTAAAGCCACGAACTAGGTCCCAGTCGTCGGAGATTCTTGTCACAGACACAGGTCATGATGTCTCCAACAGGACAGTTTAAACAGACTTCTGAGAACTAAAGTAAGTTCTTATAATAACAGTATTAGAAACCCCCTCTGCCTCTCCTTGCAAAGGTAGGGTCCATCAGCAGGCCCGACTTCCAGGTCACAAAAAAGCCTTCTCTCCTGGTCGCGTGCTGACAGGAGCCTGCACAGCAGCGTGCAGCTTGGGTCTGCAGGACCAGCGGGGTCCGCCTTGTGAGATTCGGGTCAGGCTGCAGCACTTTGTCATCAGAGGAGCTTTACTTGTTTCAGTCACTTCTATAAGGGACTTGGGGCTGACTAGGGAAATGCATAGTGCTGTAAAGAGGACTAATGGCTGAGGGCGTCACAGGGAAATCAAGTAAGGCTGCCACTGACTTTCTCCCTGGTGTCTGAGCCCCTCAGACCGCTCCAGCCAAGCTGGTGTTGCGACAAGCGCCTCAAGTGCGACATCCCAGCTCCTGCTACTCACTCTGATCTGCATAGTTCTTGGCCTTCGATTCTAGCTGGCGCGTCTGAAGCTCGTAGTGTTCCACCTGGGTTTGCAGCTCTTTCTTCTCTTGTTCCAAAGCATCTTCAAACTCGATGAATTTCTACACATGGAAGGAACACAGAGCAGGCATCAAGCACATGGGACGCCAGAGGACAGCGGCCCTTGCAGAAGGGCCACGCCATGGCTCGCAGCCCGATCTTGAGTGGAAAGCCGGAAGGGCCTCCCAGGAGTGAAGACGGTCACCTTCCACCCAGCTGGCAGGGCAGCGACACAGGGCCCCGGACCGAGAAGGGCTCAGGCCTGCACCATGTTCTGCTGGCACCATCTTGAAATGCTTAGTAATTTTTAAACAAGCAGCCCTGAATTTCCACTGCTGCCCTGGGCCCCACAAATAACAGCGCTGATCCTTCTGCAACAGGGTTACGTTACTCCTCTCAACACGAGACAGCTAAGCAAGGCCAAGTCGACTTCCCTCGTCTGTATTTCACCCACTACCAGGTCCAGGAAGCCATCAATATTGGAAGAGCTAGTAACGTAGAGTGTCACCCCTCCTGTTTAAAATATGGCAGGGGGATAAGTCTTTGTAATTTGCCACTTGCATCTACGTTTCTGAGCGGAATTATTATAAACCAAGCGAAAAGAAAGCACTTTGCAAAATAAAAGCAAATCTTAGGGGACACCAGCTTACTGCTGACAGCAGGGGGATCCCAGCCTTTGGCAGGGGGAGGAAGGGTGTCCCCACAACTGCTGCTGGCAGCACAGTCACCACTAGCTGCAGGGAGCCGGGAACACCTCAATTTCACTGAGAGGAGAGGGAATACTATTAAGAAATTTCATTTGTAGGAAGCATAAATACCAGCTGGGTTCTTAATATATGAAGAGTCTCAGAAGATGGGAATATAAAACTGACAGCTGATTTCAGGTTTTGGGTATCTGGAAGTGGATTAAGTCATGGCCATGGCTGTGTTTCAGGCCCCCAACCCCACCCCCAGGCCCTGCCCCACACACCCAGGACACCCCCACATATACACACCCAGGCCCCATCCTGACACCCAGCTCCCCCCAGGCCCCTCCCCTGCCCTGACACTCAGGACACCCCCACATATACATACCCAGGCCCCACCCTGGCACCCAGCCCCCCCACCACACACACTCAGGCCCCAACCCCAATACCCAGGATACCCCCACATATACACACCCAGGTCCCACCCTGACACCCAAGCACCCGACACACACATATCCAGGCCCCCACTCTAACACCCAGGGCCCTGCCCCCCACACCAAGGACTCCATCACACACACAGCCAGGCCCTCCCAGGGTCCTGACACCCAGGACACCCCCACAAATACACACCCAGGCCCCCCCAACACCCAGCCCCCACACACACCCAGGCCCCAAGGACACTTTTTCCTACAGCAGCCCCTCAAAGGTCTTTGGGTGAAACCCATGGGGGCTCCTGCTGAAGAACCCAGTCTGTGCAGTGATCTGGGGGCAGAACTGACTGGGAGCACAGGCACCAGAAAGTCTTAAATCACACGAACCTGAGTGAAAGGAGGAAAGCGATGGGCCACAGCGGAAGCACATGCGCGAGGCGCGGCGTGTGACGGAGGGAGCGGCTGTGGGGCCGTGCGTGGCATGGGGGCAGTGAGCAGGCGCTCCAGGCTGCTTAGGGCTTTTGTGATTTGGTGATTTAGTCCCATTACTTAAAACATTAAAGGAATGACAGACAACATATACTTTTGTAGAAAAATCAGATGAGTTTTGAGTAAAAAGAAGAGTATTTAAAAAAAATCTACTGTTCTTATAAATCAAGTATAAAAATCAAACGAAAAATCATATCTGACTTGATTGTTTATAGTTCGTGATGCGTGATCAAAACTGAAAGTCTCTGTGATATGACTGCCCTTGCACTGCTCACCATGTAGGAACTTATTCACTATGTAAGAACTTGTTCACCATGTAAGAACTTGTTCGTTGTGCTTCAGAAGATTGGAGACTGTTGAGAATTAGGCTTGGAGTTGATTAATGATTGTGCATTGAGTCCCCTATGCAGAATTTTATTGTAGTTAACAACCATTTGATCAATAAATGAGAGATGCCCTCTCGAAAAAAAAAAAAATCTATTGTTCTACCTTCCAGAGTCAGTTAAAATTGGGGGATGCTCTCCCCGATCTGTGTCTGGGGCAGAAGTGCCATCTCTGGCACACAGTGCGTTGTAACCCCACCTAGTCTCTCCTTGACACTGACCTCCAAACATCTTTCTACATGGGGTGGCGTCTGCGCCACTGTAGGTGCGCCTGCAGCCTGTTCACCTCGGGGTGCTGGGCTTGTGCTGCTGTGAAATGCCTGCTTTACTGGTAGCGGTGTATCTGCCCCACAGCTTCCTGCTGCTGAAGGCTGTGCTCACACACTGCGACCCTCAGACAGCCAGCGCACGCTCACCAAGAGCTGTCACCGTAGGCAGAGAACTTAGTCTTAGCTACCTTGGAGGGGAGCTGGGGGGTGGGAGGGAGGCACCTGCCACAAGTGTCTGAAATCGCAGTTCCTGAATTACTGGTGATATTGAACACTTTTTCATGAATTTATTCACCATATATACTACTTTTATGAACAGCTTATTATGTCCTTTGTCCAACTTCCTGCCATTATATTCCTATTTTTCTTGATGATTTTAAGGGTTTTTATGATGCCTAGTCAAGAATCTGCCCATCTTCAACGCAATGTGGAGTATGCGTGGATGGCATGGAAGCTTACTTACCTTTTTCTTCACTGCTTGGAAGCACACCTTTCTCACATGCTGAAATTCTAAGCTATATTTCAGTCCATGTCTGAGCCACTACCAAAGGCTCCTTAAACCTGTGGTGTTGCCTTTAAAGTCTGACACAGAGTCACCCTGGGAGTCTTCCCTTCCAGCATTTGCTGGGTGACTCCCACGTGTGTGTCTGTCTAGATTAACTGACAGTCATTCAGATGCGCTGCCCCACTCATCTTTCTGGATGAGCATTCTGACATTGGCACCAGCTCTCTAGTCCTCAGAGAGAGTCCCTGAGTCTGATGAAGAAATGCTCAGGGCCCACTTAGGACAAAGGAAAACTCATCTTGAGCCAGGGAAGAGCCATTTGATGGGGAAGCTAGAGCTCGAAGACAGAAAACTCTCCTTTAAACCAATCGCCACCCTGCCACAGAGCTGCGCCACTGAGGAGAGATTCGGGTCAGGCTGCAGCACTTTGTCATCAGAGGAGCCTTACTTGTTTCAGTCACTTCTATAAGGGACTTGGGGCTGACTAGGGAAATGCATAGTGCTGTAAAGAGGACTAATGGCTGAGGGCGTCACAGGGAAATCAAGTAAGGCTGCCACTGACTTTCTCCCTGGTGTCTGAGCCCCTCAGACCGCTCCAGCCAAGCTGGTGTTGCGACAAGCGCCTCAAGTGCGACATCCCAGCTCCTGCTACTCACTCTGATCTGCATAGTTCTTGGCCTTCGATTCTAGCTGGCGCGTCTGAAGCTCGTAGTGTTCCACCTGGGTTTGCAGCTCTTTCTTCTCTTGTTCCAAAGCATCTTCAAACTCGATGAATTTCTACACATGGAAGGAACACAGAGCAGGCATCAAGCACATGGGACGCCAGAGGACAGCGGCCCTTGCAGAAGGGCCACGCCACGGCTCGCAGCCCGATCTTGAGTGGAAAGCCGGAAGGGCCTCCCAGGAGTGAAGACGGTCACCTTCCACCCAGCTGGCAGGGCAGCGACACAGGGCCCCGGACCGAGAAGGGCTCAGGCCTGCACCATGTTCTGCTGGCACCATCTTGAAATGCTTAGTAATTTTTAAACAAGCAGCCCTGAATTTCCACTGCTGCCCTGGGCCCCACAAATAACAGCGCTGATCCTTCTGCAACAGGGTTACGTTACTCCTCTCAACACGAGACAGCTAAGCAAGGCCAAGTCGACTTCCCTCGTCTGTATTTCACCCACTACCAGGTCCAGGAAGCCATCAATATTGGAAGAGCTAGTAACGTAGAGTGTCACCCCTCCTGTTTAAAATATGGCAGGGGGATAAGTCTTTGTAATTTGCCACTTGCATCTACGTTTCTGAGCGGAATTATTATAAACCAAGCGAAAAGAAAGCACTTTGCAAAATAAAAGCAAATCTTAGGGGACACCAGCTTACTGCTGACAGCAGGGGGATCCCAGCCTTTGGCAGGGGGAGGAAGGGTGTCCCCACAACTGCTGCTGGCAGCACAGTCACCACTAGCTGCAGGGAGCCGGGAACACCTCAATTTCACTGAGAGGAGAGGGAATACTATTAAGAAATTTCATTTGTAGGAAGCATAAATACCAGCTGGGTTCTTAATATATGAAGAGTCTCAGAAGATGGGAATATAAAACTGACAGCTGATTTCAGGTTTTGGGTATCTGGAAGTGGATTAAGTCATGGCCATGGCTGTGTTTCAGGCCCCCAACCCCACCCCCAGGCCCTGCCCCACACACCCAGGACACCCCCACATATACACACCCAGGCCCCATCCTGACACCCAGCTCCCCCCAGGCCCCTCCCCTGCCCTGACACTCAGGACACCCCCACATATACATACCCAGGCCCCACCCTGGCACCCAGCCCCCCCACCACACACACTCAGGCCCCAACCCCAATACCCAGGATACCCCCACATATACACACCCAGGTCCCACCCTGACACCCAAGCACCCGACACACACATATCCAGGCCCCCACTCTAACACCCAGGGCCCTGCCCCCCACACCAAGGACTCCATCACACACACAGCCAGGCCCTCCCAGGGTCCTGACACCCAGGACACCCCCACAAATACACACCCAGGCCCCCCCAACACCCAGCCCCCACACACACCCAGGCCCCAAGGACACTTTTTCCTACAGCAGCCCCTCAAAGGTCTTTGGGTGAAACCCATGGGGGCTCCTGCTGAAGAACCCAGTCTGTGCAGTGATCTGGGGGCAGAACTGACTGGGAGCACAGGCACCAGAAAGTCTTAAATCACACGAACCTGAGTGAAAGGAGGAAAGCGATGGGCCACAGCGGAAGCACATGCGCGAGGCGCGGCGTGTGACGGAGGGAGCGGCTGTGGGGCCGTGCGTGGCATGGGGGCAGTGAGCAGGCGCTCCAGGCTGCTTAGGGCTTTTGTGATTTGGTGATTTAGTCCCATTACTTAAAACATTAAAGGAATGACAGACAACATATACTTTTGTAGAAAAATCAGATGAGTTTTGAGTAAAAAGAAGAGTATTTAAAAAAAATCTACTGTTCTTATAAATCAAGTATAAAAATCAAACGAAAAATCATATCTGACTTGATTGTTTATAGTTCGTGATGCGTGATCAAAACTGAAAGTCTCTGTGATATGACTGCCCTTGCACTGCTCACCATGTAGGAACTTATTCACTATGTAAGAACTTGTTCACCATGTAAGAACTTGTTCGTTGTGCTTCAGAAGATTGGAGACTGTTGAGAATTAGGCTTGGAGTTGATTAATGATTGTGCATTGAGTCCCCTATGCAGAATTTTATTGTAGTTAACAACCATTTGATCAATAAATGAGAGATGCCCTCTCGAAAAAAAAAAAAATCTATTGTTCTACCTTCCAGAGTCAGTTAAAATTGGGGGATGCTCTCCCCGATCTGTGTCTGGGGCAGAAGTGCCATCTCTGGCACACAGTGCGTTGTAACCCCACCTAGTCTCTCCTTGACACTGACCTCCAAACATCTTTCTACATGGGGTGGCGTCTGCGCCACTGTAGGTGCGCCTGCAGCCTGTTCACCTCGGGGTGCTGGGCTTGTGCTGCTGTGAAATGCCTGCTTTACTGGTAGCGGTGTATCTGCCCCACAGCTTCCTGCTGCTGAAGGCTGTGCTCACACACTGCGACCCTCAGACAGCCAGCGCACGCTCACCAAGAGCTGTCACCGTAGGCAGAGAACTTAGTCTTAGCTACCTTGGAGGGGAGCTGGGGGGTGGGAGGGAGGCACCTGCCACAAGTGTCTGAAATCGCAGTTCCTGAATTACTGGTGATATTGAACACTTTTTCATGAATTTATTCACCATATATACTACTTTTATGAACAGCTTATTATGTCCTTTGTCCAACTTCCTGCCATTATATTCCTATTTTTCTTGATGATTTTAAGGGTTTTTATGATGCCTAGTCAAGAATCTGCCCATCTTCAACGCAATGTGGAGTATGCGTGGATGGCATGGAAGCTTACTTACCTTTTTCTTCACTGCTTGGAAGCACACCTTTCTCACATGCTGAAATTCTAAGCTATATTTCAGTCCATGTCTGAGCCACTACCAAAGGCTCCTTAAACCTGTGGTGTTGCCTTTAAAGTCTGACACAGAGTCACCCTGGGAGTCTTCCCTTCCAGCATTTGCTGGGTGACTCCCACGTGTGTGTCTGTCTAGATTAACTGACAGTCATTCAGATGCGCTGCCCCACTCATCTTTCTGGATGAGCATTCTGACATTGGCACCAGCTCTCTAGTCCTCAGAGAGAGTCCCTGAGTCTGATGAAGAAATGCTCAGGGCCCACTTAGGACAAAGGAAAACTCATCTTGAGCCAGGGAAGAGCCATTTGATGGGGAAGCTAGAGCTCGAAGACAGAAAACTCTCCTTTAAACCAATCGCCACCCTGCCACAGAGCTGCGCCACTGAGGTTTTATGCAAAGAAAAGGGATCTCTTGGTGCTGGACTCATTTCACTAGAATTTCCCCCCTCCAGTATTTCACTGTATTACCTGCATTCAATATTTGGGAGTCTCCTAAAAAGATTTCCAAGTTAGAGACAATGTAAGAAAATCCACTTCCAGACCCTTAAGAAGGTCAAGATAGACCCTTCCACATCTATCCTGATAGGCAAGAACTAAAACCCGACCTGAGAGACAGGCCAAAAAGCTTCGTCATGGCGTGGACTGCCGACAGGCCGAGGGGCTCCTGATCAATCTGGCCCCCAGCCAGCTCACAGGCCGACATCCTCAGACCTCATCAGGAAATACGGAGGCACTAACGGAGAGAGAAGACACCATGTAAAGCTGTGTCTACGGACATCCTCAAGGCCAAAGGCAGAGGGCCCGCTCAGAGACACGGAGATGGATCCCAGGGGGGCAAACAGGTCAGTTGTGGTTCTGGGTGCCTAAGGGGCGACCCACAGGCTGGGAAACACTTGGGCCTTAGCAACCGGGAGGTACCCCTCCACCCTCTGAGCAGCCCCACTGACAAGGGTGTGAGCGCTTGCATGGGGCCAACTCCTGAGAAACACTAGCAGTCACCAGAAGACCTGAGAGGCCCCAGCTCGGCCACCCTCCTGCTGGGCTCCGGGCCAAGTGTGGGACGATGGGGCTACCACAGCCTGGGAGGCAGGGTCCCCCCATCCCCCCTCTCCTCCATGGACCACCCAGGCAGAGCTGCTACAGGGCCCTAGGGCTTAAGTTCAGGACCATGTTGCAAACACTCCAAAGTTCTCTGCAGCTTCAACAACACCTCCCTGCTTCCCCCCTGAGAAAATCCATCAGTCACTGAGCTGACTTAACCACATGTAAGCCAGGCACTGAACTGAAATGAACAGGCAGCGCAGTCCCTCATCAGGTGTCGGAGGGACAAGGAGCGAGGAGTCCCGGCCAAGGCCGACCAATGCGGCATCTCTGCTTTCTGGGAGGGATGCTCAGCGCTGGGCTCGGTATGACCGAAAGACCATTTGGGCTGGCGAAGCCCGTTGGCGGGCCCAGGAAGGACGCAGGAGCCCCACGGCAGGGGGTGTGGTTAACAGGGCGGGGAGGAGGCTGTGAATCCCAGCTCTCCCAACACGAGGGAGGGTGCGGAGAGGTGCCAGGAGGGCTGTCACTAACTGGGTTCCTTGAAGTCACAAAAAGCTCAGTAGATGTTTTCAAAGAAGCAGAAAACATTTCTGTTTAAAGATCACTTACTTCACTTCAGATTTAAGAGACTCAAGAATTTTCAATGATTGGGGGCAGGGTAGGGCAGAAGCTGAAGTCTATAGAGTCTTCTGGAAGAAAATATAACAAGGCAGGAATGGAACTGAGAAGAGAAGTTCAACAGCCATCACGTGGGTGGGTGTGTCTGCACCTGAACACAGCAGCATCTGAGTCCCGACCACACCCAGGCGAACACCTCACACACAGCTGACACATACTGCTGACTTGAGCTTCCTCGGAACTGTCATATGTCTAACCAAGTCTCATCAAAACGTCATGTAGCACATGACAGCCCACAGAGGAACTCTTTAGAGTCCCCCGAAGAGCAACGATTACCAATTATAATCAAGGAAAACACGCCAGGGTGTGTTACCCTTAATGTCTAGATACAAAACGCGTAATCGTCACGTCTAAATACCAATATGTCACACGAATCCCTTTTTAGATTTCTTTTTAGGATATACCTCCCTCTCCCTCCCACCAACAAAGTGCTCTGTTTTAAAATTAGATTCAACTTTGGTTTTCAGAATCTGCTTTATGATGAATTTCAAGGTAATTACAAATAAGCTTGGAGTATGGGCTCTTCCAGAATCCAGGAACCTGACGAAGCTTTTCTCCATACCC